CAGAGATGGCATGATATTGAAGTACCTACAACTTAAAATTCAGTTGCCTTTCAGTATTCGGATGTGAATACGACTTTGATTTGTTTCTGTGTTAGTTAGCATAAAATTATAAACGTCTATTGTTCTCCAAAATGGTGGATTTGTACTTCAACATGCGTTTGTAATAGTAAAATAGCCTAATACACATTGAACGTAATGAAATTTTAGATACTTCATAAATAAGAATAATTGAAAAAGTAAAGTAAGAAAACTAGTTTATGTACCCATTGGACGTTGTAGCCATTCAACTCAAGAAATAACAAAAGGATTCGTGTTTGACAATGACATCAAAGCAAGCCTGCTGCAAGCTGAGGAATGGCATTTTCTCCCACGGAGAAGGTTTGAGCATTAATCATAACGCTTGCTTAACCCAGGTTGCTAATTTGTGATTCACACTTTTTTATGCCATAAGCCGGTAAACGATCAGACAGATCACCTGATGGTAAGCAATCGGCGTCGCCCATGGACACCTGGAACACCAGAGGCGTTACAAGTGCGTTACCGGCCTTTTGAGGATTAGGAGTTTGAGGATCGTTGGGAATTCAGGGATTGGGGAGATTGGGGAAGGGGAGGGTAATTGGGCCTCCGGTTACCTCACTCACACGACGAAACACAACACAAGCGTTGCTTCACGTCGGTTTTCTGTGAGACCGTGGTATCACTCCGGTCGAGCCGGCCCATTTGTGCCGAAGCATGGTTCTCCCACACTTTTAATTACTTACCTTAAAAGTTTTTCAATGAGCTGCTTTCCTAGAAATCCTGATCCTCCAGTCAGGAATACGGTAGCTCCGCTGTAAAACTGCTGCACGCTGGATGTTCCGCGAGCAGTTATGTCATGCAACGGTTTAAACCGGTCAGTTATCTCCGCCATGAAAGCTTGCGCGGGATCCAATGTTTCCGTTGCCATATTGACTCAGGTAACGCTAAAATTATTAAGATTTAAAAAGCTTTTGCACAAAAAATAAGGAATTCATTATAAATGAAATTGCACTTATTATGTAGGCAATTAAACTACTAGAAATGATTTTTGAAGAAATTATTCACTTTCAACTTAGGCATTGCCATTCAACTTGGCAATGCTGCTAGTCTTGCGGACGAATACTGTGACGCCTAATTAAAGGTATATTAGTTTAGTTGTAGTAATTTTATGTTGTAAATACTTTTTTTGTTATATTATGTTCGATACCTATATATGTAATAAGATTTTTAGTAACTACATTTTAATACGTTTAAATTCTTTGTAACGTGAAATTAAAAATAAACTCACATTTTCAAAAATATGACACAATAATTTTAACCGTTTAAACACTGGTATGGCAATGAAAGATCACTAAACAATAATGCGGAATCGTTCGTACCTAGATATATTAGTGCCAAAATATTAAAATTTATGCACTGAATTCATAATACGCCAAAGTACATACCTTTTTTTTTAAGAGGGAAAATCATTGAATGACTGTTCCCGCCTGGGTGAGGCGGGAGGGAGTGTCAGACTTTTACTTACTAAAAACCACCCCGTTCCTTCTTTACGTTTATGATTAACAAATAAGAAAAAAAAACACATTGTGCTAATTCATTGATCTCAAGGCAAAGTTCATTTATGGTCACCTGCACAGCATTCAAAAACAGGAGGTCTACTCTGATTCGACGAAAAACGAAGTTTCGGACGAAACTTCGAACATTACCTACCACAATGGCATTTGTTACGAACGAAAAAGGAATGAAACAAGCCAGAAATTAGTATGAGATGTACTGTTTGACATCGATATTTTCGGAACCCTACTCTAATTGTACAATCCGCACGAACGAAAATTCGAGTTTGACAGATTATTCTTCGGACGTTTAATGTCATTTCGACGAAACCAAAATAGTTATCGTTTGATTTTCGTTTGGGTTAAATTTATTGAAAAATGAAGGAAAGTAATTATAAGTCTTCGTTTT